CTCTCTCTCTCTCTCTCACTCTCTCTCTCTCTCTCTCTATATATATATATATATATATATTATATTTAAATGTTATTTATGCTTTTTGTCTATTTAAACATCCTTTTTTAACAAATTCTCTTGGGGAGTAAGAATAACATTTGTTTTAGGAGAATATATCCTGATTTTGCATATATTTTTTAAGCAAAACAGAAGCCTAAATTGTATTACATTCATGTTTAAAAAGATAGTCCACTCAAAAATAAAAATTCTATCCTCATTTACTCACCCTCATGTGGTTCAGAACCAAATACTGAGAACCAAACAACATTGGACCCCATTGACAACTGTATGGACACTGAGACACTGAGACATTTCTCAAAATATCTAATGTTGTGTTCTGCAGAAGAAAGAAAGTCATGCAGGTTTGGAATGGCATGACATAATTATCATTTTTGGGTTGACTAGCACTAGGAAAAAAATGTTTGTCAATAAGGTTTCAACTTAATAGAAAAATATATTCTCTAAAAACATTTGTAGTATTATATGCAATTTAACTTTTCATGTAGATTTTCTTTGTTTTAAGGATGTTTAAATTTTTTTACAGAAAAACAAAAATCTTTTTGAAAGTAATTATTATTTAAATAACATTAGCACTGGGACAGACATTGACTGTGAATTCACTTCTCTGTTTTGTACAGAATCAGGGGAAGAAAGGACCCTGGAGTTTCTCATGGAGCCTCAGCATGTGTCTAAAGTCGTTGGAGAGAGCGTTCTGCTCCCCTGTGTGGTGACAGGATATCCCACAGCCTACGTCACATGGACGCACAAAGACCAGCTCATTGAGTACAGGTAGGGAATGCATCATCAAACAGCATCTCTGTCCTCACAGATCTCCGGGGTGGATAGATACTCTGCTATTAATAGATCCAGAGCTCTGCACCCTGAATCAGACAGTGATTTCCACTAACAGGTCATTGATTCCTCAGTGTGTTGCCAGTGTGTTGAACACGAGCTTAGAGTCCCGCTGTGGCAGCAGTGTCCACTTTTAGGGATCACTCTCTGTGTACGGCTGCTGTTCTGCTGGCATACAGCCCCATCCCAGCTGCCTGAGTAAATAATTACAGTGACGGCGCCTGCCTGAGAAGTGTAAATGCCAGTCAAGACTGCAAGTGTCTACACCACACACACACACACACACACACACACACAGACACACACACACAAAATAAAGTTTCAACAAATATCTCCTTTCTTATGTTTTATTTGCAGATTAAATAAGTCTTAAGGAAACTTTTGACCTCCACAGGAGGGCGCAATGAGCAAAATAATGCAGCGCATTAAACTGTCAATTCAAATAACTGTCTATAAAAACGTGCATAACGTCTAAATTAACATATATAACTAACCATTAACATGAGCAATTGTAATTGTGTTGCTTGCCTTAGTAAACACCACTAATAATTGCCTTAGAGTAAGTTTGTCATAACAATAATTACCACATTCACTGGTTTTAATGTAAGTATTCCCAGAGTTGCCATCTTCACAAGATTACTTCATTAATCAAAGGAGCTGCGTGTGGAACAAGGGCTGAGGTAATTTCAACACCGAATGCACTCTCAAACTTAGATGACTGAAAAAGATGTTTTGTTCATAACAATTAAAAACTTCCTGTGAGATTTCCCGAAGACGGGGCTTGGACTGTCAGTCAGTAATTGGGAATGTCAAATTAAAGAGCAATAGGGAATATTTGTAAGAATGATCGTATTATCAGACAGTGATAGAACGAGGCATTCAAGCCCCTGCTTGACATACAGTATCTGAATTTATGAAAACACGCTTTGCGTGCCTCACAGCCTCTGAGAGTGGCTGCACTGTGGGGATTAACCACGGTAAACGGACGAGTCAGAGAGGCAGAACAAGAGAGAAAAGATAGATGAAAGGGTACAGTGAGAGTGACTGTTGATTGCCTCATATTGGGGTCTGTATGAAGTGTGACTTCAATCCCCTGAACCTTAAGACACAATTTAAATATGAACAAAGCGTGTTCACGGTTCCTTTGATCATACTGTAGTGTCCCTCTTTGGGCTCTGTTGTTATTATTATTATACATAAAATAAACTGAATGTAACACAAAGACCCCAAATAACAACCTTAATACTGAAGGAGATTCTGGGGCCATTTCTACAGTTTACCTCAAAAAACAGGATCATTATGGTGGTTAAGATGGTTTTTGGAATAGTGTAGCTGATCCAGCTATCCCTGAATGTTTGGACGACAATTAGAGATGGCGCCGACACTGATGGCTGCCTCCGTGGCGTGCTCCGCAGTTGTTTTTATGTTTTTGTTAGTTTGTCCTGTCTTTAGTTGTATCCCTTGTTATCCACACCAGCTCAGTAAAACTGAAATGCTGATCAACCGACTAGCTATTCATCCTGCCTCCTTGTTCCCTTTGCTCGACTCTCTGGAACCCCATTTAAAATCCAATTTGGGGTTGATCATTGTCTCTTGCTCTCCCGATCTATAAAGGTCGGGTGAAATTATTGAGGGTTGGCCATTGGCAGAGTTGCTTATCAATGTTAATGGCCTCTAATTTCTGCAGCCTTTTGTTCAAGATATGTATTAAGAAGATTAAATGCAGTTTTCAGCCAACACTCTCCTGATATCAAATTTATGCTGTTGGTAATAGAGTCTGGCCATGTAATGTTCGGCCAGAGGGAGGGCTCTGATGACCCAGCACAGACCATCTTTGTTAAATAGAAGTTCTAGCAAAAAGTAATAATATAGGTAATGTAAGGAATTTATGGTAAACCAAAATATAAGTTGATGTAATTTCTATTGAAACTTTAAAGTCATGAATATAAAAATATTTGTAATTACACGTTAGTACTAATGAAGTTGCAATTACATTTTTACATGTATGTAAAAATGTAGATTTTATCTACATTTTGTACAAATATATTAATCTTGAATGTAATATTGAATTACACACGTTATAATTTTAATCAAGTATTTTACGTGTTTTAGTATGTTAGTCAACACATGAAAATAAGTGCACTTCAAAGCACAACAGGTTGTTAAAACGTAATTATTTGAAATGCACTTTAAAGAAAAACTTTTAATTCAACATTATTACAAAGTGCACATTTTAAAGTGTATTTTAGTGTCAGAAACATAGTCATGAAAGTCTACTTTCATTAAATACACTTAAGTGGCCTGTTATTTCAGTAATAATATCTGCAAGTACAGATTTTAAAGATATACTTTTGTGATTTGAAATTCACTACAGGTGCACGTTCTATATAGAGGGAATTTTTCCATCAATAAATAAAGTTGTGAATACCAGCACGGATCAGCTCCAGGCATGACGAAGCAGATATCGTCCTCTTTTGGAAGGCCAAACAAAGTAGTTTTGCTTTCACAACGAAACACACAGCTCTTCACGACATGGCGGCGGCAACAACAATACTACAGCGAGAATAAAAGTTACGCCTTCTTTCTTTGCGTGAACATTTGGGCGGCGTTATGCAAATCTTCCCAGATAGTGACGTAGGTATGACGTAGGCCGTTTTAAGTAGGTGTGGCTGATTATAAATATTTGCCAAACTTTTGTCCACCAAATCAAAGTAATATGGTGCCACTACCAAGGGGTTCTGAAGGTTTTTCTAGCTTGATATTTCTGAAATATATATTTTTTTAAATTATGAGAAACTCTTTCATATTAATTTGAAGTACTCTGAAATTTTCCCTCTGAAATCTATCCATGGTTCTCTGATGTCTGTTAATGTTCACAGGACATGCAGGTAAATTAAAATAAAATATTTTTTTATTGATTTTATTTAGAAATTATTTATTTATTTTTATTTTTTTTAAATTTAATTTAATTATTAGCTTTTCATCAACTCGCAAAGCCCCATGGGTTTTTGAACCCCACTTTTGGGTAACCTTGTTTTATAGAAAAGTACCGAGTTTACAGGAAAGCAGGGGTGTGAAGGGAGCATTGGGATCAGGACATGTCGGACTCAAAGATTGGAGCTTGCCATTTTGCAAAAGCCCTTGCCATTTTTGCTTGGAGTATGCATCAGAGGTTCCATGAATCGTCCGTGGGTGGCCCATCTGAGGCTGAATCTACGTAATTTATGACTTGGGCACACTGCTGGAATGAAAAGTGAAGGGTTGGAATGCATTGTACTGGATGTCTGTTTTACTGGTTGGCAGGACATCGCTGCTGTTGAATAGACCATGCAGCACTATAGCAGGATTCATTCAGCCAAATGTGTGACAGCTGTTTTTGTCACTGGAGCATATGAATTTTGTGGCTGCCTCTCCATTTCGGCTTCTCTGTCCATTTTTTCCTCCCCTATCTCCCTCTGTGAGTTCCTCTGTGTCCCGTTCCTTTAGGAATGACGGTGGCCTCTCCGTGCACTCAGAAGCTAATGACACATCCAGGGCTAAATCCAGCCTCACCCGCCAGTTCATTCAGACGTCTAATGTGCGCGTATTACGCAGGCTGTGGCTTTGGGCATACGTGTTGTAATGTGCTAATCAAAATATTGGTTAACCATTGGAGGCACCTGCAAAACAAATAAAGAAAGGTATGATGACGGTCTCAGCCCAGCTGGGAAAAACAAACACTCTGCCTCATTGTAAATATGAGCTCTTCATATTGATTTTATGCTCCGTTTTTCCCTCTTCTGAAGTATTTCATTTGGAGCTTAGTCCACGTTCTATAAAAGAGCAGCATACATCACACTGGCGAAACCACAGCTGAGAGAACATATATTCAGGATGTAGAAAATAATATGACATTAGCTCATAAAGGTTCTTGACTTGGAAAGTTTTTCTTCTTTAAACTCTCTAAACATGTGGTGTAGTCAGAATGCAGCCCTGTCCAGAGAGGATATTCAGTCTATTTCAGAGCCACCTGCACATTATAATGCTCTATTGCTATTCATTTGTTTTGTGAAATGTTCATTATTCAACAATGCTGGTAAATTAATAAATATGAATGCATTCTTCTCAGTTCTTTTTTAAAAAGCAGTTAATTCCTAACTAAGTATTATTCAGCATTAAAAAAAGACAGATGATTGCAGCTTAGGTTGTTAAAGCTTAATTAAGATGGTCTTAGCTACCCTGCAGTAAAACAACAGTTTGAACCATCTGAAGTTGGTCTTAGCTGCTCTCCAAGCTGGTCTAGTTTGATAGTTTTTGATAGGATTGATTGAGTACTTGTTGGGTATTTTGAGAACATCAGGTGGTAGACCAGATAAAAGGGTCAATGACAAAGAAGAATGTCCGTAACTAAAAATATAAAAACTAAAAATTGTTTAAAACACATGTGCCAAGTTCCTAAAAATGTACTCTTTGTATTCATGATGGTTTGTGGTTTTGGGGAGGGGAGGGGAAAGAAAAAAAAAAGCTTTAATAAAATTTTTAAGAATGGTTTTAATTTCAAAAAAAATATCATATGTTGTTAACCATCAAGTAAAACATATTTTCTTAAAAAAAAAACAGAACAAAACAAAACAATGATATTAGTGAATGAATGTCTTTTATCTCAAAACATTTTTTTACACTTATTAAACATGTATCCTGAATGAATCAATCATTCACAAATGTCATTGTTTTTTGGGGGTTTTTTTTGTTTTTTTTTACAATATCACAATACTACATTTTACAACCTGAAGTTACGTTGCTTTGTGATTAAAAAAAGGTAAAATTATCTGATATTTTTAAAAACTTACTGACTGTCATGAACTTGGCTTTATTGATCACACCATATGACTTTGGTTTGGTGGATAGGTTTTTTTCCCCAAAATATTAAAGGTGTAATAGGTGATTGTCTTCAGAAACATTTTTTGTTATGCTGGTTGAAAGTCTCTTCACATCCCGATAGCAATCATTAAGTTAAGTGGTCTAAATGTATTCATCTGTATTTATATATTCTGTGGAAGGCGTAGGACCAAGAAATGTTCGTCCAATCAAAACGCTCGGTCCGAGTTCACGCAGACAGGATACGTCATCAGCGCGTTCATGCACGCTGTGCAGACAGAGCAAGGATGGCAGGCAAACATCAACAAACCCGATCTTCCTTCCTGGTATTGTAGTACTTTTAAAGTTTTCTCACCGGTGAATGACACATGATGTAGCCCAGCGATTAATCCAGTCCTCGCGCCCCCCGCTCTGCATATTTTGAATGTCTCGCTTAGTTAACACACCCGATTCAGATAACCAGCTCGTTAGAAGTGAGCTACGTGCATGAACTGTGTTCAGATCGATATGATCCCTACACAGAGTTCATTGCTCCCTACTCCCTGAGCAGGGGAAATCCGTTGAAGTTTACTTCACTTCGGAACATGGGCTGGAATTGGGAACCTGATGTAGCCTATTGTAGTAATGTTGTCTCTGGTACTCTGGTCTGTGAGTGAGCGTATATGCATTCAGGGGGCGTGGCTTTGGAAGGCGATTGCATGGAGGGTGGGACATTCGCTTTCAGTGCTATCAGGCTAAAGTTAGCATTTTCCAAGATCTCCTATTGCGCCTTTAATAAACATTGAAGCAGATTTTACCTTAGCTTGATAAAAATAAACTTCTGTTTGTAACACTGGGGCTGCCACACAACCAGGAATAAATAAGTCTGATAAAAAGTTTTTCTTTTCAAGAATTTCATTCTTTTTTCAGCTTTATGAAATATAGATTATATCACTGACATTTTTGACTTTATGGGGGTAGAAACCATCAGAAGCTGGTTTTAACTGGATTTTCCAGTGGGGTAACACACAATTTTTGCTGGTGGCATCAGATGGAATAATGTCACTACCCTCATTCAAGTCTTGGCACAGCATTAGTAGCTGCTCTGTTTAGAGTCACAGTCATGGAGCTGAACAGTTGAGGGTGGAGACCATGCCAGAACCTTCCGAGCTGTTGACAAGGAAGCCTTTCATCTCACTCACTTGTATCTTATGACGGCATCAATCACAGGCTGGCTGCTCTGAGGCAGGTTGGGTCAGTGCCACGGGTAGTTTGGTGTTGGATTTCTGTTGACGGATGCCAGTAGTTTAGCCTCAGAGCTGCACACTGGATATACATCACGGCATATGCAGTGCTAGCTGTTAGCCCAAACCAGTCTGCAGTCATGAGGCTTTTGTAAATTAGTTCTGGGTTATTTGAGGTGACTCCATACACAAAAGCATTACTGCTCCCTCAACACTCCTAATGCACTGATGGTCCTGAATAAAGAATAGTATGTGTCCAACTTACACAAGTTGAGAAATTTTAAGAAACCATGTAAGGGGGAGGAAATGACCACTTGTTGAATAATGAATCGGAGGAATTATGATGTTCAGAATGGGAAAATAATTTCTGTTTATGCCATTGTTGTTTATATGATGCAAAATAGGGCTTGAAACCATTGGTGTTATTATTATTATTATTATTGTTATTATTTTTCAACAAACTTAGGTATGTCTGAATACAACACTTATTTGTGTGATTTTTGTTATTTTCTAGCAATAAGCATTGAATAAACATAAAAATAATTTATAAGTAAATAATGTATCAATATTCCTGAATGGGAATCACTGAGTCTAGCCTATTTACAGACCAAATGATAATTTCTGGTTATTGGTAAACTAATGTTTCCAATTAAATTCATTCATTCATTTTTTTTTTTTTTTTTTTTTTTTAGCCCCAAGGATGAGAGCCATTTACTTTATTGTGCAAAAATGAAAATGTCATTTTTAAACTAAAATAATGGTTACAGGACTGAATGGTTGATGCTCTTACCAGTACATTTTGTGACACATCAAGAAAATAGATTATGATTATTTAGCTGTATGAAGTTAAAGGGTTACTCCACCCCAAAATGAAAATTTTGTCATTAATCACTTACCCCCATGTCGTTCCAAACCCGTAAAAGCTTTGTTCGTCTTCGGGTAACAATTTAAGATATGTTGGATGAAAACCGGGAGGCTTGTGACTGTCCCATTGACTGATACTTTTCTGGACCTTGACAGTGTAATTTACTTGGCAAAGACATCGTCAGAATAGTCCATCTGCCATCAGTGGTTCAACTGTAACGTTATGAAGCGACGAGAATACTTTTTGTACGCGAAGAAAACAAAAATAACGACTTTATTCAACAATTTGTCTCCTCTGTGTCTCTCCGCATCACTGTAGCGCCATTTTGGAGAATAACCACTGAACGCAAGCAGCGTACGCTATTCTGTGTCAGCCGCAACACAAGGATACGTTTACTATGTGTATTTACGCTTTGATTTGAACGAAAACCGTGCATCCGTGCAGTGCGGCCGTGCAGTGCGGCTGATTTTCATTTTGGGGTGGAGTAACTCTTTAACAAATATCAAAATACTACACTATTTTTTTTAATATATTTTTAATTTTTGGTCATTTGGTCTTAAACTAACCCAAACTGAATGGTAGCAGAATTTATCCTAAACCTTAATCGCTGTTACTTGTAACAACCTTGTTACCCACTTTTGTTTTACAAATTTATGTATAGTTATTTTCACATATTTAATGTTTATTGCTAGAAAGCACACAGGGTTTTAAAATTCTTTTAGATATCTCTTTTGTTAACAGGCATGAAAAATAGTGAATGAATGAATTATAATAGTAAGTAATAACGTCATGTCCATGAAAAAAACTAAAAAACATGGAGACTGAAGCGTGTCTTAGGTGGAAAAGCTCCACAGTGGGCCTACGTGTTTCATCGCGTGTTCTTTAGCCCAAAGGTACAAAGGCCTCCTTTATGAGACCTGCTGATTTTCCTTTGGGATGAGGTATGTGTGATGGTTTAAGGCAGGGTGGAGTTTCTCTGAGCACAAGACTTTTGAGTTACTCGCTCTTATGCAAGTCCTGTGGTCTGGCGTGTGTAATGGACACTGTCAGGCTGCCCTCTCAGGACTTAGACGTCCTTCAGAGCACTGTTTCATTTGCTGAGTTATGCTTGATAGTTTATAGATTATAGATTAAAAAAAAGGCCAAAAATAAAATAATAAAGACCCTTTGAAAACACATGCTTGTTGTATCCTAGAAAACCCACAATTTATTTATTTATTTAATGTTTTTACTATAAAGCAAACAGAGTTTTAAATTGTATTCAGATATATTTTGTATTCAAGCAACTAAATAAATGTAGATATGTATTTTATATTCAGAGAACTTATGATGGCAGGGATGAAAAATAGTAAATCATTTTAGACATGTCTTTTGTATTCAGACAACTTTTGGTAACAGGGATTAAAAATAGTAAATAAGTAAATCCAGACATTTCTTTTGTATTTAGACAGATTTTGGTAACAGGGATGAAAATAGCAAATACATTCTGACATGCCTTTTGTATTCAGACAACTTTTGGTAACAGAGATGAAAAATAGTTAACAAATAAATAAACTCAGGGATGTCTTTTGCATTCAGACAATTTTTGGTAACAGGGATGAAAAATAGAAAATAAATAAGTACATTCAGACATTTCTTTTGCATTCACACAACTTTTGGTAACAGGGTTGAAATAAATTAAAATAACAATAAAAAAACTAATATAATAGTTACCTTGACATTCTAAGGTAAACTAACAATATTTTCCTCCTAACACTACCCTCTTAGGGAAAAGTCCCTTTTATCCAAAGCAACATACAGTACAATTACCTGGACAATCCTCCTGAAGCATCCTGGGATTAAGTGCTTTGGTGACCTCAAGTGCACAATGGTGACCCATTCATTGTTTGCCCCTGATGGTGATCAAACCAGAGAACTTCCGATTATCAAGCCTGACCTAAACCAATGTTGAAGCTGCCCTTTTCTGCTAGAATGCGCCCTTCGCGATATAGATTCCATTTTCTGCATGTAAGAAAGAACATGTATACTGCAGTTATTGAATTAGTGTTGGGCTAAGTATGCATTTGACATTCTGCAGGGAGCTTATTGACATCGCCTTTTTCTCTTCTCCGCACAGCAAGGGCCGCTTTGAAGTGCTTGGCGGAGGCAGTCTGCGGATCTTCAATCTCACTGAGGAAGATGCCGGTTCGTACAGCTGCATGGCAGACAATGTCAACGGATCCATAGAGGCCCAGACTGTGCTCGCGCTGAAAGGTAAGATTAAACCTCACTGCTAAAGGACTAGTCAAGTGAATGTCATGTCACACTGTAAAGTAGTGTTGTCACGGTACCAAAATTTCAGTATTCGGTACCAATACCAGTGAAAATCCACGGTTCTCGGTACCAAAGCAAAACACAAAAACATGCTAATTGAACAATATTTTTATTAATAACGTAAGCTCTTTCCTCTAGTGCTGTTCAGAGGAAGTGTTGCATTTTCTCGGTGACATTAAGTTCTGTAATTCCACTGCACGCTCTGATCACGCTTCAGACACGTTTACAGAAACAGGTATTGGATTCTCTGTAATTGCTCAAGCTGCAGTTTTTGGGCGGGACTGACAGTAGTGCATGAGATGTGATTGTGTGATGATGAAAGGGACGTGAGATGGTTCAGACAGGTGTGAAATCACAGAGAATAGAATAGAATCTGGGCTGTAGATTTCATGCAGATATGTGGAGTGTAATGAGCTTTGACCATCTGTCCATCTACTGAGAACTCCTACACTGTGACAAGATGAAAAGATGAAAGATACTGGGGGGAAACACTTTCAGGCCCTTTACTTTGCCTTTGTGCACTTCAATTCTTAAAAGTATACTTTAAAAAAAACTGTACTTGCAGATAGTATATAAATCAAATAAAAAGTCATTAAAGAGAGTACACTTTCATGGCTTTGTTTCTTAAAACACTTAAGTACACTTTTAAAAATGCACTTTTAATGTCAAATTAAAACTTTCACTTTAAAGTCATTATGGTTTAATAATCGTTTGTTGTGCTTTAAAAAAGCATATTGATGTGTTGTTGACTAACTAAAGCATGTTTAAAATACTTGATTACAATTTTAGTGTTATTCAATATTGCATATTGATGTGTTGACTAACTAAAGCACGTCTTAAAGGCAGGGTATGTGATTTTTCAAAAACACTTTAGAAAACTGATTCGGGCCGAATAGCAAAACAAACTTGTAGCCAATCAGCAATAAGGGGCGTGTCTACTCGTGCTGTGGAGGAGAGCGCTTTCAGTGCATGGGACGGACATTAGCCGAGCCGAGCGACAGAAAGATAGAGATGGCGGATAAAAAAACAAAAGAGGAAAACGTCTGCGGAACGACAAGGCAAGAAGTAGGACCCGTGTAAAATATTGGATCAGCTTTCCAGTGCTGGAGAGAACTCAAGGAGCGGAGGCCTGCGATCGGACGCCGAGGTTGCTATGTTTCTTCTCAGTAGGTGAGTAACACCGTGTCTACAACAGCTAAAGTCTGCCTACACCGGACGCGATCAAACGACCGTTGAAAACCATTTGAAATTTGTGTCAGCACGTCATAAATAGAACCCGGCAGCAGTTTTCTGTCGGGATTTGTTGCGCCGCGCCGCTCACGTCCGTAGACACGGTGTAACATTGGTTTTGCTTTGTTTCACAAAACTAATCGTTGCCTGGGTTGCGTACGTATATGTGGGGCGGAGCTATCAAAATAGGGGCAAGACCCTTTTGGGGTAGGTGCGTGTTTGTTTTGGTGATTTCAAATATCAACATTGGCTACCAGAAATCGCTTACTCTGCCTTTAAATACTTGATTATAATTTTAGTGTTATTCAATATTATTCAATATTGATAGTGAATAGAGTTATTCAAAGTTAATACATTTTAAATGTACTTTATCATTAAAAATAAATGACATTCAGTAAATGACATTAAATTTCAGTTTATCATAAATGCTTGTCAGTACAATTAGCAGTAAACTTTAACCATATTTCAAAGACAATATAAATAATTATGAAATATGGTTCTACTTAAAAGATCTACTTAAATTATAATTAAGTGGGTCAAAAACACTTTTAATTTAATAACTAATTGCGTTTAATATACATTTAAATGATAAAATATATAATATAATATAAAATATTCATTTCAATTAATTGAGTATCCAAAAACATTACGTTCAGTTCTCACTTTATTGTAATCTTCTAAAGTATAAAACCAAAAATACCAAAAATACTCACTGCCTTAAAAGTAATAGCCACAAGACTTTATGCGTGTTGCAAAGAGACAAGTGTGATAGAATTGCTGACTACACTACACTTACAGGAATTACATTGGTAACACAAAACCAGAAATTAATTTGCCCAGAACAGTAGTCCCACCTCTAAAACATACTTTACAGCTCAAATAGTAATAGGTTTTGCTGAATAAGGCATGCTGAATAATTCTTCCTTTAACAAAAATATGAGATTCACATTTCTGCTTGTTAAACCCTCTGGACCCTCTTGTTTGCTCCTATTGCAAGTTATTATTATTTTTTCTAACAATTCAAAATTGTTTTGTTGTAATCAACATAATGCTATATTGATAGAGCAGGTTGTATCTCTGCTTGTTAAACCCTCTGGACCCTCTTGTTTGCTCTCCTATTGCAAGTTATTATTATTTTTTCTAACAATTCAAAATTGTTTTGTTGTAATCAACATAATTCTATTGATAGAGCAGGTTGTATCCAGAGCAATCATGTATTCCTGTTTCAAGTGTGAAATAAAACAATTACTTTCATGTCTTGTTTGCTCAGATTCTAAATGTCAACCAGCAGGCGCAGAACAGTTATGAATACATTGTTGCGTATATAACTAGTCAACATGCATAGATGTGTGCTGGTGTGAGCAGGTCAGATTGATCTGGGAATTTCTGTGCTCTCTATGTTTTTGTTATACTGTAGGTGAGAAACCCAGAATCCTATTAAACTTTGATAGACTGTCTTTTCTGTGCTAAACAACATAAGGGAGTAGCTTGTAGGTTGCTGTTTCTACTCTGAAATGCAGGGTAGATGAATAGAAACAACAGTGTGTGTTGAGCTTTGACATTGTCTGTAATATAGCGGGAAACCCGAGACATGCTCCTGAATGCAAGTGAGGCAGTGATAAGAGCTGTGTGGTCATTTGAGATGTTTTTATCGTCACTATAATCTCCCTGTAGAATGTATAGGGAGTGTAACCTATGGAAGCCACGGAATAAAAATGCTCATTTTTATCTCACAATTCTGCCTTTTTCTTGCAATTGCAAGTTTATATCTCACCATTCAGACTTATCTTTCTCAGAATTTCAAATTCTTCTTCTCTGAATTCTGAGTTTACATCGCACAGTTCTATTTTTTTTCTGCCATGGAATGAAAGAAATAAAAAAGGTAATTACAGTGTTTTTATTATGTTGGAACAGACACGTATTGCTGTGTTTTTATTACAATGCTTCAGATATGTATTGCGGCGGTTCAGAATTCAAATGTCCAGGGAGTGTCGCTAAAAGGTTAATGCTCTGTCGTGTTGGAATATAACATACCCAGAACACCAAACCCAAACCTAAACCTACCCGATAGTGTTAAAAAATTCACAAGTGATATTAAAGCACATTCACTGATGTGATCGTGCTATTTTAACTTCCTTATACGTGGGTTTGAGCTGTTTTGTTGAACCATAGCTTCACAGGATTTGTACCAGAGTACCCCGATAGTGTTAAAAAATTCACAAGTGGTATTAAAGCACATTCACTGATGCGATCGTGCTATTTTAACTTCCTTATACGTGGGTTTGAGCTGTTTTGTTGAACCATAGCTTCACAGGATTTGTACCAGAGCGCTTCACCTCAAATGTGCAACGCCGTATCGCGTGAGCTACCGGGCAAACTTACTGAGTTAGAAAACCCATACCTATGAAGCTGTATATGTGACGCTAATGTTAAAAAGTAGTTTTCAAATCTCACAGCATGTTAAACTTGTTTAAATATGGTGCAAGGAATTGTGCGAAAGTTAGGCTTTCTTAATCAAAACTCTGGCCCTGTAAATCATACTTTGTGTGTAAAGGAATAAAAGGTCTCAGAGTTTTACTGCCTCTAGTGTTCATTTCAACTGGAAACGTTTGTATAGGTACGTTTTTTAGCTTTGCTGAAATGTAGGTAGAGGGCCAGCGATATAAGTTCTTCCCTGTGTATGTGCTACTGGGTTTATGAGTGTGAGATGTACTGAGTGATTGAAACATGAACCATCTGTCCCGCGTGGAGCTGGCTTGAGCAGGAACCCAGCAGTGTGTGACAAGTGTTTTTCAGCAGGTTGTGTGTGCAGGCCTCAGCAAGCTGCAGGAGCACATACTAACAGCCATTCATCACCTTACCTCTTGTCAGTTTGGCCCTGATGCTGCAACTTATGTTAGATATACAGTTCCAGATACTGTAGAACCCAGCTCATCTGGAAAACATCAAATAAGCTTCATTTATCTCAGCTTACATCCAGTCATAGCTTTATGCAGCCATTCTGCTTTTGGTTAGTTTTCTACTGAGAATTGTATTGACAGTCTTATAAATATTTATGTTAATGACAATCTATAGTCTTTATCTGCTATTTTTACCCTTTTACCCTTTGCTCATTCACTTCCATACATAATTTTATGACATTAATTTATTCTAAACATTTTTGGTTGGTTTTCAAACTAATATGAAATTTATATATAATCTTATATTTACATATATATATACATACATACATACATACATACACGTGTTGTGGTCAAAATTTTACATACACTTCGCGGTATATGCAAAATGTTAATTATTTTACCAAAATAAGAGGGATCATATAAAATGCATGTTATTTTTTATTTAGTACTGACCTGAATAAGATATTTCACATAAAGGACATTTACATATAGTCCACGAGAGAAAATAATAGTTGAATTTATAAAAATGACCCCATTCAAAAGTTTACATATGCTTGATTCTTAACACTGTGTTACCTGTGTTGATCCACAGCGTTTTTTTTGTGATAGTTGTTCATGAGTCCCTTGTTTGTCCTGAACAGTTACATTGCCCGCTGTTCTTCAGAAAAATCCTTCAGGTCCCACAAATTCTTTGGTTTTCTAGCATTTTTTACGTATTTGAACCCTTTCCAAAAATGACTATGATTTTCAGATCCATCTTTTCACACTGAGGACAACTATCACAAAAATAGAAGAAGAAAAAAAAACAGCTGTGGATCATCCAGGTAACAACACAGTATTAAGAATAAAGTGTATGTAAACTTTTAAACGGTGTCATTTTTATAAATGTAACTATTATTTTCTCTTGTGGACTATAGGTAAACGTCGTATTCAATGAAATATCATATGCGAAATATCTTATTCAGGTCAGTATTAAATAAAAATAACATGCATTTTGTAGGATCCCTCTTATTTTGGTAAAATAATTAACATTTTGCAGAAGTGTATGTAAAATTTGTACTCCAAAGTGTATGTAAAATTTTGACCACAACTGTGTATAAATATATAAGAATGACATATATAATTTATGTAATGTAACAGTGTTTCCCAACCGGGGTGCCGTCTGTCGAGAGCAGGGGTGCACATTCTAAATCTTTTCTTGTGCTTATTGTACAGTTTATTTGCAATTACACTCATTTTTCTTTTAGTTACGCCTATATAAACAGTGTATTTTACTATATTAATTTATATGTATTTTATATAAATGTATAATTTATGTGTGCTTGTTGTACAGTTTATTTGTAATTATACTAATTTGTCTTTTAAGAGGAAAATTAATTACAGATGGTTAGTTTAAATGTGGTTATATATACATCTATATTTATATCATTCATGAAATTATTCCATTAAATTATTATTCTAAACGTTTTTGTGGTTGGTTTTATGAATATCACTTATATAATGTGCTATTACATTTGAAATCTTTTCTTGCGCAGCCTTTTTTTTTTTGGTACAATTTATTTGTAATTTTTGCTTATTTCTCTTTTAAAAAGTAAAATGTGTTTATATGGTCTGAGTGACAAATATCTATACATACTGATTTATGCAAGGGTAAGGGCAAGGGTATTAATCATATGCAAGTGATATGTAATGTTTTGCAAAAATGCAATTCATATAAAATATACAGCAACTAAGGGTTGTGGTTGTTTGGTAGAGAAATCAGCACAGCACAGAGCAACAATCCAATTATGTCCCAGCAGACAGGCCTGAATCATTCTGGTGCACACTACCTTGTTATTGAGATGATCTATGTCCTGTTTATCTTCTCCAAGATCAAATAACCTCATTTGCTAATGGGAAGCCTTTGGAGGTTTTGCATTTTCCTCTAGCATATTTTAACCACATCCTGGTGTTTAGGATATTTTTAGAGGTTGAGAAAAGTCAAAAGCAGCATTTATTCCCCCTAATCAAATCAAATAGTTTCCCCGAAATCATTACTAGCTTTTAGTTATACAGACATTTGAAGAGTCATTTCTCTCAAGAAACAAATGTTTGGTTTGTCATACTCACTGGATTTGTTTTGTTTTATTGCTTTTCTTCTCAGCTTCCCCACAGTTCCTGAAGAAACCAGCTAACATATATGCTCATGAAGCCACAGACATCACATTCGAGTGTGAGGTCACCGGCTCACCCGCTCCCACCATCAAATGGGTGAAGAACGGAGATGCTGTCATTCCCAGCGACTATTTCAAGATCATTGTAAGTTGCCAGCTTGCCCTACATGAGTGAAGAAATGCTGTTGACCTTCTGATAAATACAGTATTTCTTCTAGATGACAGCGATGTTCTTGTGTGCCTTTTTACAGAAGGAGCAGAACTTGCTGGTGCTGGGGCTGGTCAAGTCAGATGAAGGTTTCTATCAGTGTTTAGCTGAGAATGACGCTGGCAATGTGCAGTCGAGTGCTCAGCTCATCATATTGGATCAAGGTATGTTTAACAGCATATTTGCTTACATTCAACTTCGTTAAAATAGTTTCCCTTTGTAAACCCTGCTGGAAAATCCAGCTTAAAAAGGTTGTAGCTTTAAATAGTTTCCAGCTGCTTTAGGATTTTAATTTATGATCAATAGCTGGTCTAGATGGTTAATCAACTGGAATAAAACTGCTGGGGCCAAGGTTGACCTGGTAGACCTTCTTAATTATGCTTGTTAGAGCTGTCAGACCTGGTCCTGGACCATACGTTGTTATCACCTGGTTCATCCTGGGAAACTCTTAGTTTATTACACTCTTACATTTTCTGATGTTTAAATCCCATCATAAAAGTGTTCATAACATCTCATTATGCTGTAATGGTGATCCATTTAGTTTTCCAACTACATCACAACTATTTTAGTATTTCATTAAGCAATCCTAAACATCTCAGAGAAACTGGAGGATGTATCCATGTAGATGATCTTTTTTTGATACAAATCTAATTAAAGGTATAGCAGTGTTTGGTGTAAGTCAGGTGCATGATGCCATCTGCTGCAGCTTCCTCTCTGGCAGTGCCACCTGTTCAGTGTATGTGTGTGCCAGGACTAGAGTTTAATGTTAAATGTGCGGTTGAAATGCTGTTCTGGGTGGTTGCTGGGATATTACTTACTGATCAGGGGTGCGCTTCCTAAACAATTATGTAACCCGCTTCTTAACTAACCTAGCATGATGCATCATTGTAGAAACTAACTAGCTAGTCACAACTGTTTCCCGAACATGGTCGCACCTCCGTCATTTGAACCACATTGGTTCCACAATATAGGACGGTCGTTGATGACGTCATGCGCAGGTGGTGGAGTAGTAACTTTTTATTTGATGTTTGATTCATCGTGAGTTCCTTCTTGCATCATACTTTGGGGTTCCCTTACGCATTTACAAACATGCACACTCTTCAAAAATGGCACTTATTGAGGACAAGCTAAAATATATAGATTGAAATGTATATATATTTAAATTGAAATGACGATATAGATAGTATGCTTGCTTGCTTATTGTGCCCAAGAGCATGATTTATTAAAGTCCACATGTCTTACTAACAAGAAATTATGCTTCTAACCACAGGTTGAGAGCTGTAGTTCCAACCACATAAGTTTGCGATGTTTGTTTGAGCTATGGTTTCACGAAATGCTGAATTGTTGAATTTTGTTGGTAATGATGGAACTTGCGACCATAGTTGGCTAGCAATGCTTTTGGTAAATGCATCCAGAAGAGCCCACCCCCAAAGTCTCTATGATATTCTGGTTGTTCAAAAAATGTATAGCTATGATTTGAGATACTGTATTATTCCTGTACATTCATAACTGAGAAGGACAAGCAAACCAAAGCTAACAATAGGGCTATTTTCAGCAATAGAAATAGTGATGATTGCCTTAGCAAGCAGCTTTAAAGGGGTCATGACATGTTTTTTTTTATTGTTATTATGTTCCCTGAGATGTAGTTATAATATTACTAAAGTTTTTTGGGTGAAAAACATTCAAAATTGAGTGACTTATGACCTTTTTCCACCCTGTTTCTCATCCTCTGACTGAAACAGTCGTTTTTGGGGTGTTTTCCCTTTAAGAGGTCAGTGTAACCGCCCACTTTTATGATTGGCTAACATCCATTACCGCCATTACCGTTTAAAAAAAAAAAAGTTTTTACATGAAATACGTTACTTACAGTTAGCAGCGTCGTTGTTAAGTCCAGAACAGTTGGCACGGCCTGATCTTTGAGCAAAAGTATTTTGGCAAAGCCAGCCTCATACTGCGATTTGTTCTCAAAACAGTCAACGGTGAAATTTACTGAACACACGTGTAAATTAGCACTGACTAGACTGGGACTTGCGCTGAAAATAAAACGTTGGGATCCTTCAGCATACTAGGGTTGGGTATCGTTTGGGTTTTTTTCGATACCGGTGCCAAATACTTTTACACGATACTTTTAAAACGGTTCCGGTGCCTAAACGGTGCCTGAACCGATACTTATTAAAAAAAAAAAAGTCCCCAAAAAATGATGGATTGGCCATTAGCACTATCAAAACATGATGTCTGTTTCATTCATACTGGACGCCAGAGGGCGCCCTCGCACAGAAAATCCACATATCCAGTCACAGAAGTAGCGGATCTCATGACCCTCCAGGAAATCCCTTATATGGACAAAGTCATTGCTATTACAGCTTTAACTGAGTAAACAGAACATATAAACGTTTCGAATGATAAAACAAAGACAATAAACATTAGATTGCGACAATATAGTTTATCTGTGCTATTCAAGCCATCTCTGGTATTTTCATAATAATTAAGTATATTTATAATCCATTGCTAATCGATGTATTCTTTTTAAAGTAGCCTATGGAACATATTTTCGTTACATAGGTACCGGTGCCATATTGGTACCGGGTTTCGGTACCCAACCCTAGTGTATACAAACATGTTGTTTTTCCACAGACAGGAACGGCACATCATCTGCCTGGCATCGCAATCTTATTGTAAAGAACTACTCCTTCAGACCTACTCGAACACCTGTGGGCGTGATAACGATGCGATGATGCAAAAATATGCATAGTTGTCTTGCGCTGGAGGCGGTCATATGCAAACGACTGTGCCTAGGTGATGTCACCTTGTCCCTCTGTTCCAAAATGCACCGTTTTCTGAGGATTATTACATAAATGCTTTTTTTATTGATGATGATGACATTTTAAGTTATAAAACTTGCAGGATGTATTAAGCATACCGAGACCTCTTCTACGTCAAAAGATCAAGGGAAATTTGGTTTCTCATGTCATGACCCCTTTTGACATTTAAATCCAACCATATACAAGCAGTACTGAGTGAACAAATTGAAAGCACAAATTTGTGGTCAGATTTTGACTGTTTCTGTGATATTTGTATCTTCCTGAGATGAAGCCAGCTTCTCTCTGTATTCTCTTTGCTGTACTCTTTGCTCTTCTCATATGAAATGGCCTATAAACACTTTATTTTGGCAGGCTTCTCTGCTTGTTCTAGTTAAAGCCGCTAGACAGGTCTGATTGGAGGCTTTTTGAAGCCTTGGTACTCACTGCCATCTGGACAAGCACATGGTGAATGGAGAAACACAGTTGCCTATCTTCACTTATTGTTAGAGCTGATTGCTGAGTTTATTTGCTTACAGACTGGGAGTTTGTTGCACAGTCTGTGAAACTTGCTCATTATATATTTTTTTCTGCAAGGGAATATATGCTCCCATAGTCATTAGTGTAATGCAGCATTGTGTTTTCTCCATAGTCACAATGCTTTAGATTTGACATGCTGTGATTACCTTAAGCACAACTGTAATTTCAGAGTTTTATGCAGATTTGCTCATGATCTTTAAATTTTAAAGGGCAGAAAAGTTATTTTGGGCTGTGATCAAAACAAGGAATTCATGAATGACAACTAAAAGAGACCTAGCAACATCCAAGCAACCACCCATAACACCTTAGCAACTGAATATAAATGATTTAAAGACTACTCTGAACACCTTAGCAACTGCACAGCAATACCCTGGCAACCACCCACAACACCCTGTCAAATATGAATCAGAATCAGAAAGAGCTTTATTTCCCAGGTAGGTTTACTCATACGAGGAATTTGTTTTGGTGACAGAAGCTTCCACAGCACAAAGAGAATGACAGTGACAAGACACAGATAATAAATGTAAAAAAGAAGTGTGTGTGTGTGTGTGTTAAATACATAAATGTATAAATAGTGTTGTGTATTACACGCAGTGTTGGGAGTAACGCATTACAAAAGTAACGATATTACAGTAATATATTACTTTTTGCTGTAACGCAGTAATATAACGCATTACTAATAAAATTTGGGTAATATTATTACTCGTTTCAATCTCAGTAATGCACGTTACAACAACATATTTTAACTCAAAATTAAGTGGTGAGTTTACCAACACCGCAAAACAGCACCAGACAATAAATTCCGCGGGTAAATACTTTGTCTATTTCCTGTTGCTTTAATTCGATGGTTGAGATGACTGAGATGGATTCTACATTTGTGAGATGGGCATACTGCGGGGTCCAAGAAGAGAAAGAATGCGGCGGATGAGCGCAGACAAGCAACAGAAATTAAGTTTAACTAAAAATAACAATTTGTTTTTATTAAATCATAGTCTACATAAAGTGAAATTTACTCACAAGTAACTTAAAAGTAGTGTAACGCATTACAATTCAGAGACAGTAATATTGTAATGTAACTAATTACTTTTAAAAGGAAGTAATAAGTAATATATAATGTATTATATTTTGGAAGTAACTTGCCCAACACTGATTACACATTTATTGCAAAGTTAACTGTTCATGAGATAGATTGCCTGAGGGAGGAAACTGTTCTTATGCCTGGCCGTTCTGGTGCTCAGTGCTCATATGGTGTTGATTTTTGCACAAGAAGCATAACACAACATTTTTAACCACATTGTAATCAACTTTTTGAATTTTTGTAGAGATTTTGTGGAGCAGATGAAACATTGGGATTCGTGCCGAATGATAGATGTAGGCTGCGTGAGAACAAAGGCGTTTGCTTTCAGTTTCGCTTTAAATTAATTCGTTTTGTGTTCATGAGATAGATTGCCTGAGGGAGGAAACTGTTCTTATGCCTGGCCGTTCTGGTGCTCAGTGCTCATATGGTGTTGATTTTTGCACAAGAAGCATAACACAACATTTTTAACCACATTGTAATCAACTTTTTGAATTTTTGTAGAGATTTTGTGGAGCAGCAGGGCAGTACTATGAAAAATTTGCATCACCACAAGCATTAAAAAAAGTCATATAGCTGGTATGAGATCAGGACGTGACCTGACAATTTGATGCTCTCTCACTACTTGAGCTTGTTTCTTTTCCCGTGATTAATGTTAATTCCATATTTGCATTTGAATGCTTGTTTTCCTGGTAGTGAATTATTATTATTAAGGATTCATGGCAACTGGAAAAAAAACATTTCTCTTTTT